ATCTCTTTGTACAAAATTTTAGGCAAAATGTAGAATATTAACTATAGTAATAATAGTAAAACAGTTTAAAATTCAGGATGTTTTGAGCCAGAGATTACATTGTCTCCCCACCCCCACCCCCCCAAAAAAAAAAAAGGTTACCAGAATTTCTTCAGTGAGCTCCTTGCCTTGCTCCTGTCTATATATTCTTGAAGTCAGGTTTAGAGTGGTTTCCACTGGATTGCTCCTAAATTTTGCCTCAGGCTTGAAAGACCATAGTCCTCAGTCTAACTCCATGCTGGGAAAATAATGAACCCACCAGTTTTGTCCTGCCATCCTGCTGCAGGCTTCCTTCCAATTAATGGTCTTTGTTATGTTGAGGGGCTTGATGGAGTTTGCACCATGCTGAAAGGGGCCCTGCTCACTGCTCCTCATTCCAGAGCTGTCTGGGGAACAGCCCTGCTGACAGCATTAATTAACGTCTTTCAATGAAATTTCGACATCAAGGGTCTACTACTGTCACCAGTGGTGATGAAAGACATTTAACCAAATGACATCATTGGTGCAGACTTGCTTACCTGATGCCCTAATGCCCTTGAGAATGCTGCTCAACCACACCTGCAGAGAGCTTCCAGCACTGGTGTGCCAATGGAGGAAAATCAAGCCCTAAAGCAAGACTTAAACACCTCCACACACAGAATCACAGAATCACAGAGTGCTGCTGCCCAAGCCGTGGGCTGCTAGCTTTTCCAGGAGTGTGCTGTGGGAGACAGTGTCAAAGGCCTGGCTGAAGTCCAGGTACACAACACCCTCAGCCTTTCCTGCATCCACCAGGTGGGTCATTTTGGCCATAACAGGAGACCAGGTTGGTCAAACACAACCCACCCCTCCTAAACCCATGCGGGGTGGGTCTGATCCCCTGGCCATCCTGTAAGTGCTGTGTGATGGCACTCAGTATAAACTCCTCCATAACCTTACTGGGTACTGAGGTGAGGCAAACTGGCCTATAATTACCAGGATCCTCCTTCCCAGCCTTTTTATGAATGGGTGTCACATTGGAAAGCTTCCAGTCCTCTGGAACCTCACCAGTGATCCAGGACTGTTGGTAAATTATGGAGAGCAACTTCTCAAGCTCATCAGCCAGCTCATCACCCTGGGATGGATCCCATCTGGTCCCATGGATTTATGAACATCCAAGAGGCTCAGCAGTTCTCTGACTGCCTCGTCCAGGATAATAGGGAGACCATTCTGCTCCCTGACACCATCTACCAACCTAGGAGGACAGCTGTCTGGACAAGCCATCTTCCCACTAAAAACTGAGGCAAAGATGGCATTAAGCACTTCTCCTCATCCGCAGTTACAAAGTTCCCTCCCATTCAATAGAGAACTGAGGATGGTCTTACCCTTCCTTTTGCCATTAATATATTTGTAAAATAATTTTATATTATCCTTTACAAAAGTTGCCAAATTAAGTTCCAACCAAGTTTTGGCCTCTCTAATTTTTTCCTATATGCCCTAGCAACACCCTTAAATATTTCCTGAGACATCTGATCCTCCTTCCAAAGATGATACATCTTCTTTGTATTCCTAAGTTCCTTCAAAACCTCCTTGCCTATCCAGGCTGGATGTTTGCCTTGTCAGCTCATCTTTTGGCACACAGGGACAGTGTGTTCCTGTGCCCTCAAGATCTCTGGTTTAAAGCACACCCACCTTTCCTGAACACCTTTGGTTTTTAGGGTTGTTTCCCAAGGAACTCTCTGAATAAGTCACCTAAATAGGCCAAAGTCTGCCCTCTGGAAGTCCAGTGTAAAAGTCTTATTGATGTTCCTCCTGATTTCACCAAGTATCAAGAACTTCAACCACCACAGCTCCCACCAGCCCATCTCTACTTGCAAACAAAAGATCTAACACAGTCCCTCCCCTGGTGGGCTCACTCACCAGCTGTGACAAAAAGTTGTCATCCACACACTCTAAAAACTTCCTGGACTGCCTCTTTTCTGCTGTGTTAAGTTCCCAGCAGATGTCCTGCAGGTTAAAGTCACCTACAAGAAGAACAAGGACTGATGATCCTGGTGATGCTGAAGAAAGGGAGGTTTTAAAGAGAGCAGTGTCACTGCTGATGGAGAGATCCCATGAAAGCACTGCAGTATTCCAGCTGTACACACAGCAACTGTGGTTTTTCATGGTAAATAACAGGAAGGGGTACTGCAGACATGTCAATAAACTTGGATATTCACTTGGGGGTAAATACTTAGAACAACAATGTAGTAGTTGCAAGCTCAGCAGAAAAATATGTGTCTTACTACAATACTTGGGCAACACTGCCTTAAGTCCTTATAACAACCTGAAAAGAAATAGAGATTGCTACTGGAAAAACATCAGTCACCTTTCACCCCATCTTTGAAAAGAAGTGCTGTTATGCTTTTTTTTACTTTATGCTAAAAACTTCTCTCCCCTGAACTGAGAAAGTGACCTCTTCTCAAAGACACTGCGCTCACTTTAAACCTGAGGGTTATAGTCTTCTGTCAATCACTTCTTTCATCACTAGAGCAATGAATTTCTACAATAACCTTGTACTTGAGCCAATCCTTTCTCTGGGTTTCACAAGATTGCATTTTATCCCAGCAGTTTCTTGAGTCATCATGGTGTATCTAGTATCCAGAAGAGATTCTGTGCTTTATATTTCCTTGGCTGAGGGCACAAAGAACCTGAAGTTCTGCAGAGCCCCAGCTCCCACACAAGGCTTGTTACAAACCAACCAGCTGAACAAAACACCCTTTGCCATTACCAGTATAGCAGTAAACCATGAATATTCATTAATTACTGCCCTGGTTTTATAAATTAACTCCATCACAGCTTTTCCATGTAGTCTTGCATATGTGCTCTTCACTTCTGTCCCTTCTAGCTATATTCTGCAAATAGCTATCCCAAAAGCTCTAGTGGTTTGAGCAAACAGGCTGTCAGCATTAACCTGATGAAAGAGTGCATTGATTCAGGAGAAGGGACGTTTGCTCCAGCACATGGTGCTGTCTGCTGACAGTTGAAGCACGGAGCTACAAGGGAAACCCACCCAAAAACAGTGACAGAAAAGACAAACAGGTTCTGGTTCACATTTGCATGGGAGTTGAGCTGGGACCCCAGCCTCGTATGGAAGTGCTTCCAGGACAAGGATTGGGAAGGTGCTGCTCCCTCCCGCTCTCTCTCTCTGTGGGAAGATGTGGCTCCTGCAGAGAGCAAGAGGTCCTTTGTGTGGAGCCGTTGTTTGACACTGCCACTTGAACTGTGATGCTAGAATCATAGAATGGTTTGGGTTGGAAGATGATCTCATTCCAACCCCTCCCCACCATAAGCAGGGACACCTTCCCAAAGACTGGCTGCTCTGACAGCCCCATCCAACCTTGCCTTGAACACTTCTAGGGATGGGGCATCCAGAACTTCTCTGGGCAAGCAGTTCCAGGGTCTCACCACCCTCACAGTAAAGAATTTCTTTCGAATCTCTAAATGAAACCTCTTTCAGTTTGAAGCCCTTATCCCTTGTCCTATCACTTTATGTTGTTGTAACAAGTCCTTACAAAAAGGACGAGCAGAGATGCCTGAGCTTTAGCTCCGAGGTGCTGGGGGATGAAGGGCAGCAGGGGAAATGCTTTGAGTACAGATTCAAGTGATTTTTTTTCAGAAGAGGAAAGATGTGTGGGGAAAACAGGAGTGATTTCCTGAAGCAGCATTCAGGCTGGGGCTGGGACACTGCTGAGGGACCAGTCCGCTCTGGTGATTCTTCTGCATTTCAGAGTGAGTGGTGAAGCCACCATGGGGTCTGGTCCCACCCCCAAGATCTGCTGTGCCTGTCTGTGTTCCACATCTCATCACAGGGAGTTGCCACTGCACAGCTCCCCCACCACACCCTCGTGGCTATGTATACATATACACATACATATTCAATGTACATATTTATATACAACTGCAATATATAGAACGTGCACTCTGTGTGTGTGTGTGTGTGTGTGTGTGTGTATTCATCTGCAACTGATCTGGAACCAATCCTTCTATCACAGAGCCAAGGCCCCAGCACCTGCCAGATTTCTCACAAGTGGTTTACAGAGGGAGCCTGGCTCTCCCTTGCTCTCTGCTGGCACAGGTTCAGCAGGAGGTGAGATGCTCATTATGGTCTCAGTGCTGTGGGTCTCTGCTGTGAGGGAAGAGAGAGGTTTGTGTCTTAGGATGGGTAAGGAATTCATTAGGAATTCATCTGGGGTGCTTCTGGCATCTGCAGGGGAACGAACTGATAGAAGATTAATTCAACAAGGGAAGGTTCAAGTCCAAATTAGGAAAAGGCAGGAGTAAGTTTAGGCACCATTAGAGTCATGGAACTGCTGAGCAAGAGCTCTTAGTTTGTGAGCTTGGCTTTTGGTCCCTGAGTACTTACGACAAACTAAAACTGCCCATATGTAGAAAAAAAAATTTCCAAATTATTTTTTAAAGCTAATCAGCTAAAATGCATTGTGATTGTCTGTGGGTTTGGGCAGTGAGGGGAAGGGAGACAGAGAAAACCCTGAACTAAGTCACCTTTGCTTGATTCTGTTTAGTTTTTCCATCAGGACAATCTCTCCATTTCCATGCACTGTTACAAGGATCTGACAAACCGGGTTTATATCGAGAGCAATGTGAAATGACACGCTACAGCCATTTTTAATTTATTTTTTTTAAAGTCCCCTGTCGGAAAAGCCTGCATAAACCGCTGAAAGGTCTTTACCAGTCTCACCGGATCGATTTTGTGTAACTCCAATAAAAAAGTGCTTCTGGGGAGTGGCCGGGCAATGGGTGGGTGCCTGGTCCTGCCCGTGGGAATGTCGCCCCGCTCCGAGCGAGGAGCCCCGCGGCATCCCCGGCTGCCGGTGCCCCTTCCTTTTTCCCTTCTCCTTCTCCTTCCCCTTCCCCTTCTCCTTCCCCTTCCCCTTCCCTTCCCTCGACTCCTCTCCTCCGTCCCGCCCCCATCTCCATCCTCTCCGTCTCCTCCCGCACAGGTGGCACTGCTCTCCTCTCCTCTCCTCTTCTCTGCTGTGCTCTGCTCGCCGCCCGTGCCGCGATGCCGCCGCCGTGTCCCCGCGGGGCCCTGCCCGGAGCCTCCCTCCTCCTCCTCCTCTTCCTCCTCCTCCCGCTGCTCTGCGCGGCCCCCGGTGAGTGAGCGCGGCGTGCGGGACACGGGGAAAGCGTAACCCGGCACGGCCTGGAGAGCGGGAGAAGCCTTCCCCTGGCATCCCGCGTGGGGAGAGCCTTCGGACGCTCCAAGCCTTGCGCCAGTCGGGCATCTTTTTAAAAAGGCGCTTCTTTGCCGGTGACTGAAGCGTTTGGGAACAGCCGAGCGCTTGCGGGTCTCCCGTTGCGCTGGCAGTCTGGGGACCAGCAGGATGACTGCTTCCATGTGCTTTGGGGCAGGATGCCAAGGCATTTTGTAGAGCTCTGATTGTTAGCACAGCCCTCACCCAGTGACCAGGGGCTTTCAGCGTTATCATGCTGCTCTGGGTGCTGGTACTGGCACCAGCTGCTGTTTTCTGATGAAAAATAATTTACTTGGTGAAGAAGGCCATTATAGGGTTTCCCTTGCCAAGAGAGCTGGGGAGAAGATGCTGGAGGGTCAGAAACTTCCCTGCAGTGTATATTGCATTCAAATGTGGAAACGGGAAAAAAAAGAGCAAGTTTCTGTTTTGCCTCTTGAACCGGAGCTATGACAAAAATACTTCTGGCAGTTTTTGAGAAAGAGTCTTTGGTGGTTGTTGTTGTTTTTTCCTTCTCAGTAGATGTATGTGTTTTATTTTTATTTGTCTAGATGTTTCAAGGGGAAATAAGCTTAAACTGATGCTTCAGAAACGAGAAGGTAAGTAAAGAGACAGCAAAGTGCTTTCCTCTGTTTTTCCTTGGAGTCAGCTGCTTACAGTGAAACTGTCGATGTCCCTGTACCTCCAGCTCCAGGAGAGCAGGAGATCCTCCTGCTCAGGCAGAGCCTCTGCCTGCATGCCTGTTTGGGATGTTGGGCTGGAGGCTCTGCTTACCACAGCTCCCTCTAAAATCCAGGGTTCCCAGCCTCAAGCATGCTGCCTTCTGCTCTGCACAGAGCACAGCACCGGCCTTTTCCAATGTATGCATGGCAGACGTGGCATTTATCTATTTGGGGCAGTCACAAACTTTTCCAAGGAATGCATGGAAATACTGCTGGCTCAGGCACAGAGAAGAATATGTGCAAATCTGGCTTGCCTCTGATGCCTTGACTTGTTCTTTTTGTCTTCTTGGCCCCACGTATGCTTCCTTTTTGGAAGACTGCTCTCTTACAGGATAGATGATGGCCAAAGGCCCAGCAGTCAGAAGCATGGGATGGCTCACTGGTTGAGGGAAGGTGGTGGAAACGATGCCAACTGTGAAAAAGCTGCACCACAGCAGACAAAACATCCCAGAAGTTTTGGCCACCTCCCTTCAGCCTGCTCTATGGCTGAAGCAAAGAATTTTTACCCCCACAGAGGGGACTTCAACTTCCTGCCAGGCTTTCTAATTTTGTTCTGGGTTTTTTTCTGGCATCACTCCACACCTCTTGCCAGAACTAAAATATATATCCCACCCACCTCTGTTTTCCTTTTGTGTGGGTTCCTTGTGGTACCATTCTGCAGGGCTTTTGGGAAGATAGGAATGACCCTCCTGCACCACAGCAGTGGCCACTTGTTTGTTCAGGTCCCCTGGGGAGAGGGACTGCCTGGGGAGTGCTCTTGGGGCATGCAGACCACATGGCTTAGATCAGGAAGAACTGCAAAACTGATCCTGCAGGGAGTATCCAGCCTCTTTAATTCCAGCCTTGCTCCCCTTTTTTGGTTGGTTTCTAAAGTGAGCAGGCCAAGCCCACAGTACTGCTTCCCTTGCTGGCAGTGTCCCTTGTGTGAGGGCTCATTCATGGCACATTTGCTTAGCTGTCCCTCCCAGCAATAACTTAGCTGTCCCAGTTTAAGCTCATGGTGAGTTACCAGTTTCCAGCTCACCATTGCAGGACAGCCTACTGTTCCCACTTACTGCAACAACTCATCTATCATTTTTAACTTCAGAATCTCCTTCTCTCTGCAGTCCTTTGCCTTCCTCTGTGAGTCTGCCCAGCTCCTGCTTCAGTGGTTTTCTTCACATCTCCACTTGACTTCCTTGTCTACCCCAGTCTCTTCCCTCACATCCTCCAAAAATCCCATGCACACCCGTGTTCCTGATGTCTCCCCCATTGAAATGAACCATCTGAAGGCAAGACTTCTACTCCTAAACACTTCTTGTTTCACAGCCGGATCAATACCATGTTTTGTCATTTCTGTGTGTGGCCAGGGGCTGGTCAGTCACAGAATCATAGAACTGTTAGATTAGAAAAGATCTCTAAGCTCAAGTCCAATCATTTACCCAGCAGAGCCACATTCACCACTAAACCATGTCCCCAAAAAACCATATGTCTTTTGAACACTTCCAGGGATGGCAATTCCCACCACTTCCCTAGGCAGTTCCAAAGCTTGACCGCTCTTTAAGTGAAGGACTTTTTCCTAACATCCAATATAAACCTTCTGTGGCACAACTTGAGGCCATTTCCACTCATCCATGTCTTTGGAAGATGCATCAATTCCTCTAGCACCCACAGCACGCTGTTCTCAGGCATGGAACAAGCCAGGTGGCACATTTGAGACCATTTCCCTCACATAGGCTGCTATGAAAACCTGACGGGCTTTTATTTCCAGGCATATGGGGCATTGAGTAGTACTCATCTAAATGCTACTTTTTTACACATCAGATTCAAAAAATCTATCTTTTTAAGTATTTCTCCCTTCACTCTAATATATTAGCAATGTTTCTCCAGCTTCCTTAGTCATTTTAACTGCACCTCTCTTCTTTAACCCAATTTCTGTGACTGTAGAACTTGGGGCCAGTCTCCCGCTCTCTCCTGAAAGCACAAACACACAGTGTATATGCTCGTTGAATTTGGGTGTTTTTATTTAAATTCCTCAGTTAGCTGCCGTACTTGAGCTCAGAAATGCTTTTCAAGAATCCAGGAGAATTAGGGTAGCAGAGAAATCCTATTGCATCGGTGATTTCTGGGTTTATTACTGTTACTCTGCTACAGGCATTGCACTGGCAAGCACAAAGGTAATGGCATGATGTGAGAATCATTTTCTTACTTGCTGCAAGCATATGCTTCAGGCTGACCAAAAATTTCCTGGCATGCCTTTTGTGGGGGGGATTAATTTCAGCCCCTGCTGCTGCGAAGCCTGAGGTGTCAGTGAAAGAAACAGCAGCCAAGGAGTTCCTGAGCAGCCTGAGACGCCAGAGGCGCCAGCTGTGGGACAGGAGCCAGCCCGACGTGCAGCAGTGGTACCAGCAGTTCCTGTACCTGGGCTTCGATGAGCAGGTCAGTGTCACAAATGGAGAGGCATCATAAAAATAGAAGGGGAATAGGCAGGCATAGAACAAGTAGGATTGGGTTTAAATGAAAAAAAAAAAGACATTTAGATTAGATATTAGGAAGAAATTCTTTACTATTCTTTACTACTAGGGTGGTGAGGCTGGCACAAATTGCTCAGAGAAGTGGTTGATGCCCCATTCCTCTAAGTGTTGAAGGCCAGGATTGATGGGGCGTTGAGCAACCTGGTCTAGTAGAAGGTGTCCCTGCCCAGAATTCTTCTTTGACGTGGCAAATGTCACACAGAAATATAACCTCTGTTACATGTTAGAGATTCTTGCATTATTGTATTAGTAGAAAAAAATTAAGGTTTTGTATGGAGTTCCTGCCTGCTATCAAACTTAAGCTTAATAAATTGCAACTGGACATATGAACAAAGTTTGCTTTGTGGAATAGGTGGCCAGACTCAAAGCAATCAATCATATTTCAGTAAAGTAATTTCCTGTCAGCCTTAACCTGATCAGCTTTTAAACATAGTGAGAAATCCACACCAAGCTGGCTGTGACTGGCACTCCCCAGTGAAATAGCACTGACATTATGCACCCAATGCACACTTGTGCCTCCACAGCGTGGGCAGCTCCTGACCATCATGAACACTGGCAGCTGTGCCTCCACTCTATATGTGAAAGGAAAACCACTGGATAATATTCAGTCAGCCTCCCTTCAAATGAGAAGGACACAAATTTTAAAAGCACTCTGTAAAAACACTGGAGTGGAATCAAACTCTACACAAAGCTCTACTAAACAAATGCTGGAATAGGGTAAAAAAGTGTGTTTGGTTGCAGTCCCACATGTAGAATAATTTCTGCTTTTAATAAGAGGTAAAAATAGTTATAGATGTTGAATTCTTGGCTTCTGTCAGCTGCATGAATATGTTTAATGAGATTGCATTGGCACAGGGAAGCTGGAGTACATTTTAAAGCTTCATGCTATGTGGATTGCTTGGAAGATGAATGCACTCATTTTCAAAGCTGCAACAATTAGAAAAATAATCCTTTGCTTGAGCTGAAGTAATGAAGGGTACTTTTTTCTAAGTTCTCCTGGATAATATGTGGATAAAAGTCACTTCTCAACAGCATGGCTACATCCCCCTTCACTAACAGAAATAGGAAAAATAGGAAAAATGGTTTTATATACACCGGAAGCTGAAGACTGGGGGACAATACCAAAAGGAACAAAGACAAACCATGCAGATAAAGTGAATTCTCCTCTGAGTTCCTGAAAGCATTTCAAAAACCAAAATGAGGCCTGTTGTGGGATACAATGAATCCACTTAGTAGGTTTTCTTGAGTATTAAGACACAGTCTTAACAATGAAATAACTGTTTGTTCCAGCAAAGGACTTGGTCCATACTTATCCATTGTGTATTTGCAAAACTTTTTTTTTTCCCCAAATCTCGGCCAAAAATATTTCCAAAGAGTCATTCAGATGGAAAGGCTTTGACTTGGCAAGTATTTGACATCCTTGCACACTATTTTTCCTTTGCTGTTGTGAGCAGAACTGAAGTGCTTATTGCATTTCCATAGCAGGAAAGCTGCATTGGTAAAAACTTTTGTTTTTTACCTGTGCAAGATGGGAGAGAGAGATCAGACAGAAAGCAAAAGGCTGATGCAGCCCAGTCAGGGACATTGCAACTAAAGGCACATGGGAAGGGAGAACTAAACCTTTAGATTTTAAACTGTAAAATACTGAGATAATTCTACAGTCCACCATTGACAAGGTAATTGAAATATTAAAGGTGCATAGTGCACATTTCAGATGAAAGTGCTCTCAGTTTAAGCACTTTGCAGTGGGCAGGGCATGTGGGGCTGGGTCCAGGGTGGGGCTGGGCAGGACAATTCCTGCACGCAGGGTCCTGATAATCCCATATGCACAAGTCACAAAACCCCTTAGATCTAAAGATTTCATTTATGACAAATAAAAGGATCCGAATTTCTGAAAGAGGCTCTTGCACCACTTCAGTTTGATCTCATCACTTAGTTTCAGGCTGGAAAGGAAATGCTCTCTTTTTTTTCTGGCAGAAATTTGAAGATGACATCTCCTACTGGACCAACCTGGGGCGTGCTCGCAATGAATACTACGGTGGGTACTACCAGCACCACTACGATGAAGATTCTCCGATTGGCCCGCGAAACCCACACACCTTCAGGCACGGGGCAGGCGTCAACTACGACGATTACTAATGCCATTTACCCTGCTGCACTGGGCGAGGCTGAGCCCTCCCTCAGTCAGGATGACCCTGCTTTTTCTTCTATTCGTGTCAAACAGAAGGAGGAAAGGATTTGCCAGACTTTGATGAAAGCAGCATGACTTTTTTTAACTATCATTACTTAGTAGTACACTATATATAAAAAGTGTTATAGAAATAAAGCTTTTTTGATAATCAGGTTGCCATTATTTAGTAGACTTCATAACAGCAAGTTTAATTCCGTCTGTATTACTACAGATTCCTTTTTAAAGGGCTTTTTCTCTTGCTGTCCTACGATCAATTGCAAAATTATATCATCTACTTTGGCATATAGAATACATAATATTAGCCAGTACATTTAAGATGTGCCTTCCCATTCACATTTCTATTAACAAATAAATCCAATTATTCTTGGGAGAAAAGAAAGAAAAGGTTTCCTGTCAATTGAAGTGCTGCTTTGTTGCCTCCTCTGCTGTTTCCACACCCACAGCGTGCAGCCCTCCAAGCCTGACACGGCACTTCTGCAGCTCCTGTTGGGTCAAGGACACAGATATTCACAAAGGCTAAATTCAGTGCAGATGAGCTTGCCTACCTGCAAAGCCTGTGAAAGGATCCTCCAGGGAACAGGCTCAAGGCAGGAACTTGACTTCAGCAGTAATTGCTGAGGCACAGAGCATCCAACCTGGGCCCAACCCCTCCCAGGCACAATAACCCAAAGGTTATCTTTGCTGAATACTCCCCTTTGTGTCCATTTCACTTAGCATCAAGCTTTCAGCCTAGCTCAAAATAGGGAATAAAACAACAAAGTAAGCTATTTAAAATTAAGTTAGTGTCAGACAGCATCCAACACAATCCCCTGACATCATAATTTCCTACTGCAAAATTCCCTCTACCCTAGTTCAGACCGAAACATGCACATTAAGCTGAGCATCAAAATATATCAGAAACCAGGCATCTGTTAGTGAAACACAGTGGATTAAAGAGGGAAGAGGGATTGTCGTGCTGGCATCATGTGTGTTAAGAATCCTGAAACACAACTAATTTTTTATCACAGCAACATCAGCCTGGGAGGGAGATTTCAGCTGTCAGGGGCTTCAGGAGGAGCTGGGCAGAGGAAAGCACTGCTGGCACTTGACAAATGCAGAGGACTGGGAAGGGGCAGGTGAGGAAGGCTGGCTTCTCTGACTTCTGGAACTGAAGAATCAGGATAAAGAGAGATTAAATGTGTTCTACCAACTGTAGCAGTCAGAGAAGACAGCATGGATGCTTTAGCCGACTCTCATCTAAAGCTTACAAGAAATTTCCAAAGCATGTATGATGGCAGCACCAGTTTTTATGCTTCACTACTTTCTTAACTCTGAGTGAATTTCCTAATCTTTTGCTTAAAGCCCTTGTTGTGTGCTGGCCTGGTGTCTAGGAGATGCAGCCCAGCACTATGCAGCTCACTGCACAGATCCCTGCAGGAACACTTCCCAGGAGACAGCTCTTTGCTGAGGGAGCCAAACTGAACATGCTGGTCACTTCTCTGCACACACAGATCCACGCTGGCCTAACATGCTCCAAACCCTCAGCCTTCCCTAGGCTTAATCTCAGCAGAAGCCTTAAACCAGTTTAACTGGTTTAAACTGGTGTATTTCCAGAATCCTTGCCAGTTTAACTGGTTTAAACTGGTGTGTTTTCTTGGTAGAAGAGCCTTTATTCCAAATACGGAATAATCACATTCTGAGTCCAGCACAGACTCTTTTGCACAGTTGCAAAACACCTATTCCTAGAAGAATACTTTCATTTTGTATATTATCCAAAAAGTGCACTGAATTTGGCAACATTTGAACCATGCTGGTAATTTCCATCATTTCCCAGAATTTACAATTGGGAATTCAGACCAGCTGAATAAGGAAGAATAAAAAAAGTGCTGTAAATAGAGACCATCCCTCCCTAGGCCTTTGTAAACTCTGTCCATTCCTGCAGGCTGACTCAGTCTAGCAGCTTTCTGTGCCTTGCAGGCTCACAACCAAATCTATGGTCTCTGTCTTCTGAATTCTCTAAGAGGAGAAAAAAAATCCTTTTCATTATATTGTGTTGCAGAGTTAAGGGGTGGTACAGAGCTAACTTTCTACATAACAACACATATGATAACATGTTTCAGATTTGTGACTAAACCAGCGTAGGCAGAACACAAATGTTTTTGCTTTGGGTGAGCAGTGCCTGCACAGCCTGTTTTCCACACAGACCCCCAGCAAGCAGGCTAGGAGTGGGTGAGAGGCTGGGAGGGGCATGGGTGAGAGCTGACCCAAACTGGACAATTCCAAACGATGTAATGCTTGCTCAACACTAAACGCTGGGAAGAAGAAGAAAGAAGAAGAAGGAGAAGAAGAAGAAGAAAAGGAGGAGGAGGAGAAGGAGGAGGAGGAGGAGGAGGAGGGTGGGTGTTTTGCCTTCCACAGAAGTTATTTCTCAGAGACTGGGTGAGCACCAGGCTTGCTTGGGAGAGATGGTGAGTGGCCTTTGCGTCACTTGGGTTTTCTTCTTTACTTCACTCATTAAACTGCTCTTACATCAGCCCTCAAGAGTACTCACCTGATTGTCTAACTCTCTCCCACTGGGGCAGGAGGAGGGAGTGGCTGTGAGGGCACTTTGCTGATGGCTGGGGTCACTCACCACAAGGCAGTAGCTCTGAGGTGAGGGCACCCTCCTTGCAGAGGGGTGCACCTGCCTTGCAGCGCAGCAATGACAGATAGCAAGCAAGGATGAGCAATCAGGCTTGGGCAAAAGGAGGAAGATTACTGGGGAAAAAAAATTTCATCAGATATGCATGGAGTGCTTCAAAGTTTAATTTCCGTTGACTATTTCTGTCCCAAAGCATAGACAGAAGGGTGCACCTTCTCTTAGCATTTCCATTCTGCTGTGCAGACAGCACAGAGCACTTCACATCAGCATCACCCTCAGCCATCCCAGCACTGACATAACATAACCTCTCCAGCAAGACAGAAGAGCAGCAAGTGTTCATTGTGGCTCCTTTCAGAGCAGGAACAGCTTGGCCATGCTCCAGTGCTTCATGTTTCAAAGCCTGATGCTGCAATGTCCCTGAGTTTGTCCATGTTAGCCAGGCAGATCCATCACTCACAGGGCAGTGCTGCCTCCTTTGCCAGTAACACCTGTCAGAAAACCATTCTGCCAAAGAATGGAAGTATTATGGCTGTGCCTTTTTTTTTTTTTTTCTTTTGAGGAGGAGGAGGAAGACAGGTCAATCATTATGGCTGTGCCTTTTTTTTTTTTTTTTTTCCTTTTGAGGAGGAGGAGGAGGACAGGTCAATCATTCCCTTTAAGTTCCTACTTGTGACACAAACAAGTTGGGGATGGGGGATTGGCACTTCTATCCCAGAACTGTTTCCTAGGTGGAAGATGTAGCCTTTCTTGCTTAAAACAGCTTTCTCTATAGAGAGGTGGACGGAGCCGATTGCTGTGCTTTGACAGCACTTTAAGGCCTCTGTTCCCTGTGACTTTGTGCTTTGGACCTTCCAGATGTTTCAGCTATGGTAGGGACCAGAGTATTCAGAGGATCCTGCTCCTTGCTGAAGAGCATGTCAGCATCTAGGGAAAACACTGCAAGAATAAACAAGCTGGTGCCTGTCCCAGGCTGTATATGGCAACAAACCAAGATGGATAAAGACTTGTCAGATCTGCTATTATGAAACAAGCAAGAGAAGGACTGAGACAAGGAACAGAGAACCAAAATCTGGGGTTTTTTGCCAGAAATATGAATTGTTATTTTAGCAAAGCCTCCCTGTTTATACAGAATTGCATTCAGGAGCCTCCTGCCACACAGAAAGAGCACTGTTTTGCTTCAGAACTATTGCTGCTCTTCATGGTAGCTCTATGGAGTCAAGAGCTGCAAGTAAGGTATTTCCTTCTGCTACCTAAAATCCCCACACAGGGAAATGCTCACAACAGAGGAACTATGGATTTATGGCAGCTACATTCCCAGCAACTTCAGGGAAGGGATGTATGGCTGTTAGGGCTAGCAGTGTCAAGTATACAGTTCTCTTGCTGTTAACAAAGCATCTTCTTCTTGTGGACCAGCCCCTAACAACCCTCAGAGACTTCCTGGCCTCAAGTAGCACTGAACTCAGTACTAGCAAGGGCTGGGGACTGGCTCAATCCATCAAACAAATCAAAGCCTTGTTTTGCCCTCTGTAGCCTGCTCCCTAAGGCAATTATGCCTCTTTCAGCTTTGAAACTCAATTCAAACCCTGGCAAAAAGTGACAATTTTTTTCCCCAATATATTTCTTGAAAATTTACTGAAAAAAATAGATTAAGACACATAAATACCCAGATGGCAGTGAACTCACTGGCTACTAAACCCACCAGTCTATATAGGTTAAGGGAAGCTGCAAACACCTTAGACACAGAAACTACCAATCATTATTTCCCCATATAGCAAAAAGTTAGGCATAAGGATTCTCTAGACTACATATTCATGGAACTACTTAAAATAAATTAGGCCTGCAAGCAGCTCTGTAGCTTGTCTGTAGACTAGCAATGTGGCTGACAATCCTCCTTAGCAGCCTACATAGAGAAATAAAGGAGAAGTACATCATGCTTGAAATAAATAATAAAATCCAACTGTGGATCTCATGCTGTTGTAACCTCCAGCAGCAGGAGTGGTCCTGCTTGTGAGGATCCAAGGATGCTCAGCAGCAGGCGCCTTGCAGACCTTTCCTTCTGGAAAGCTGGTCCCACTCAGTAGCACCAAGCTGGCCGGTTCCCTCTGCTGCATTTTGTGTATTTCCTACTAAGAGAGGACTTGCACCCAGCACCAGCTCAGCTGCCCATTTGTACAGTAAATTGTGAGTAAAAAAGCACCTCAAGTTTGGTCATGTTAGTTTTACCTTGTTTGCCTGACCAGATGACAGCAGAAAATTCCAATTCTCAACTTTTCTAAAGGAAAAAAAAAATCCTGAGAGGATCTCAGTTTCATTTACTCCCAAATCCTGTATTTCCAAGACTTCAGTGGTGTATTCTACTACCCTCCATCAAAAGTGGCTCTTCCGGAGAGGCAGCAGCTCTTTCTTACCTGTAGTTCCCAGCACACTTGATGCCTTTTTCTCATGCTGATATATCTAACCCCAGACAGGAGCAGAGCACCAACATGCAAACCTCCATCTGCCTGTTTGAAGACTTAGTTCAGACCAGACAACTTCAAAGTACCCCAGACGTTCAGTCTCAAGCATCAGCAGACTCTTAACATGATTCATGCCTTTTGAATCAGCCCCACCTCACTGGTTTCAAACCTAAGGGCAACAGCTACCTCAGCTTCTCTTGCTGGAAGACACTATTAGAAAAGAAAATGGGAGCTGAATCAGGAACCTCTGAAACTAAACCAG